CCTTCCTTCCTTCCTTCCTTCCTTCCTTCCTTCCTTCCTTCCTTCCTCCCTTCCTCCTTCTCCTCCTCTTCCTTCTTTTTTCTTCATTCTTCCTTCCTTCCTCCTCCTCACTTTTCTCCCTCCCTCCTCCTCCTCTCCTTCCTTCCTTCCTTTCTCCTCCTCCCCTTCCTTTTTTCCTTCATTTCTTCCTTTGTCCTCCTCACTTTCCTCCCTCCCTCCTCCTCCTTTCCTTCCTTCCTACCTTCCTTTCTTCCCCTTTCCTTCCTTCCTTTTTCCTTCCTTTCTTCCTTCCTACCTTCCTTCCTCCTCCTTTCTTCTTTCCTTCATTTCTTCCTTCCTTCCTTCTCACTTTCCTCCCTCCTCCTCTGCTTCCTTCCTTCTTCCCTCCCTCCTTTCTTCCTTTTCTATGTCCCCCTTACCTCAGTTAACAGCTTGCTGTTCAAAAATATATATTGCAATCAAAATACTAAAGAAAACATCTGAAAACAATAAAATCATTCAAAATAAATATACACACTAGTAGCCGCCAAAATATTTGACCCATTAGCAATACAGCCAAGGAATGTAGCTATATTTAATATATTTATTAAATTTATATGCCAGACATCTCACTGTCAAGTGACTCCAATTCTTTGATTTACTTCCTGATAGGCATTAGACTTTGCCTATCCTACCTGTCAATGAATACTTCAGATTCAGCCATAACAATACAAGAGCAAACAATAGATACAAACTCAAGGTAAACCTCATCAAACATGATTGCAGGAAATAGGACTTCAGCAACACTGTGGTCAATGTCTGGAATACTCTACCTGACTCTGTGGTTTCTTCCCCAAACCCCCAAAACTTTAACCTTAGACTTTCTACTGTTGACCTCACCCCTTCCCTAGGGGGTGTGCATAAGCGGACCAACGTGCCTACCGTCCCTGTCCTATTGTTTCTTTTTTATTCGTATCCATTTCATGCATTCAAAGCCATGCTTATACCTGTTATCTAATACTTGCTTGACAAATAAATAAATAAAATAAATATGTTGGAAAGAACCCAGCCTGCAGGGAGGAGGAATCAAGCATAGAGCTAGCCTGGAGTCACTGCACAACTGCAAAAGGACTCAGGCTGACTCTCTCTCTTAAGTTCCTTGGAGCCTTATCTGATGGTTCCCAGATGTTGGCTACTGGGAGATTCCTGTATTATAGGTAGAACATAGTAAAGTAGGTTAGCTTGAATTTTGTACGTGTGGGACTGGTTCCTTACACCTGACAACATATAATGTATTTCCTGTAAATAAATCTAGTTTTAATATCTGCTTCAGTCTCCCTTGCTCAGTCCACAGGAATCATCTCTCTCAGGTGCCCAAAGCCCCTTAAAATATTTATTATCCTATCAATCTCCTTATCCAGCACTTGCCATTAAACATTAAAATTACATTCCCAGTAGTATACCTATTGAAGGGATGCGGTGGCACAGTGGCTAAGACACTGAGCTTGTCGATCAGAAAGGTCGGTAGTTCGGCAGTTTGAATCCTTAGCGCCATGTAACGGAGTGAGCTCCCATTACTTGTCTCAGCTTTTGCCAACCTAGCAGTTCAAAAGAATGTAAAAAATGGAAGTAGCAAAATAGGGACCCCTTTGTTGGGAAGGAAACAGCGTTCCATGCGCCTTCAGAGGCATTTAGTCCTGCCGGCCACATGACCATGGATACATCTTCGGACAGCACTGGCTCTTCAACTTTGTCATGGAGATGAGCATTGCCCACATAGAGGCAGAAACGAGTAGCATGCATGTACGAGGGGAACCTTTACCTTTTAGTGTACATATTGTTTGTTGATTTTGTTATTCATTCATTGATTGCAATATTTCTCTACCATTCCGGACCTCCTTTGCAAAGAGGGTTTAAGCTTCACCTGAAATTCTGAACATCCAACTGGCAGGACCCCCCCGCCCCCATTTAGGAGCACGATAAAGAAGCGATTCATGCTCAGTTATTTAATTTCAGGAAGATGAAAAGCAGCTTTACGCCATGGCGGAGATCACAGAGGATGGGTCCATGACTTCTGAACTGGCTGGCATCATCAAGCGCCTGTGGAAGGATCCAGGGATCCAGGCTTGTTTTGAGAGAGCATCCGAGTATCAGCTCAACGACTCTGCTGCTTAGTGAGTGGCTTCCTTGCCATCGAACTCATTACCTGAAGGGCCTTAGATTCCTCGGATGAAAACCGCAAACTGGTAGAGATGCACAGGGCTTCACAGATTGAATGCATTTTGAGTATCTAATCCTGAGGTTTCCATAGTTCTTTTTTCCATACAGTGGTCATCTGCAACGATTTAATTGCAATCAGATTTGCTTTTTTTTCCCCCTGAATGTATCCTCTGCAAAGATTAGAAGATTCTGTTCTTCTTTTCAAGCGGGACAGACCTGATTTCGTTTTGCAAAATGTTGATAAATGGGTCTCTCTCTCTCTCTTTCTCTTTCTCGCTTTCTCCTTCCCTACTTATCTTTCTGTTTGTGTCTCTCTCTTTTTTCTCTTTCTGTGTGTCCCTTTCTCTCTCTTTCTCTCTCTGTGTGTCTCTCGTCCTCTATTTCCTTTTCTCTCTCTTTCTCTCTCTGTGTCTCTATTTCTCTTTTTCTGTGTTTCTCTCTCTCTTTCTC